CTTCTCTCTTTCGCTTTCTTTTTCTCTTCTTTGTCTGATTTTCTTATTTGTTTCTTTTCTTTTCTTTTTTCTTTTTTTGTCTTTTCTTTGTCTTTCTTTTTCTTTCTTTTCTTTTTTCTTTCTCATTTTCTTTCTCTAGTTCTTTCTTTCTCTTTCATTCTCTCTCTCTTCTCTCTCTCTCTCTTCTCTTCTCTCTCTCTCCTAATCGATCCTTCCTCTCTCTCTCTCTCTCTCCCTCCCTCTCTCCTCTCTCTCTCTCTCTCTCTCCTCCTCTCCCCCCCTTTCTCGTCCTCTCTTTCCCTCCTTCTCCTCTTCTCCTCCTCCTTTCTTCCTCCTCTTTCCTCCTCCTCCCCCCCCTCCTCTCCTCTTCCTCCTTCTCCTTGCGCTCCCAGCTCCTCCTCTCTTATTTCTTTCCTTCCTCCCCTTCCTACTCCTCCTCCTCCCCCTTCCCTCATACCTCGTCCCCCTCCTCCCCTCCTCCTTCCCCCTCTTCCTCCTCCCTACTCACCAAAAAAGAAACGACACATCGGGGGCATCCTCCACAACGCCTCCTGCAGATCCCACAGCCTCCTGAGGACAACACATCCTTTCTAAACTCTGGGCAGGATTGTACGATTCACCGCCTCAGCCCCCCCTTCCCCCCCCCTCCTTCCCTTTCATCACCTCCCCCCCTTCCCCCGCCTGCCCCCCCATTCCCTGCCGCTGTGGTCTTTTGTTTTACGCTGGGGTTGGATTGTACATTCCTTCCTCTCTCCTCTCTCTCTCTCTCTCTCCCTCCTTTTTGGATTGTAATACAATTCCTTCCCTCTCTCTCTCTCTCCTCATCTCTCCCTGCTTCCCGTCCTCTCTCCCATCATTCCCTCCTTCTGCTTCTTCTTCTCTACCTCCCTCCACCTTCTTTCCCTCCCTCCTTTTTTTTTTCCTTCCTTCTCCTCCCTTCCTCTTCCTCGTCTTCCCTCCTCTCTCCCTCTCTCTCTATCTCTCCCTCCCTTCTTCCATCTCTTCCCTTCTTTCCTTCCCTCTCCCTTCCTCGCATCTTCTGCCCGTCCTCCTCTCCCCTAGACCCTTTTCCCACAGACAGTCCTACAAGCCCTCCTCATTCACATCGCCATCCACTCCCGCCCTCACTCCCTAATTCTCACTCCTATCTCACTCCCCCTGCTCGCCCCCCTCTCACGCCCTTCACTCCTCCCCTCACCTCCCCTTCTCACTCCCCCTCTCCCCTCCTCCCCCCGCTCTCTCACTCCCTCCCTCTCCCCCTTTCTCCTCTCCCCCTCACCCCACCTTCTCACTCCCCCTCCATCTCACCACCCCTCCTCCCTCACCCCACTTACCCTTCCTATGAACGCTCACCCACTCCCCTCTCACCCCCCACCCCCTCCTGCACCCCCCCTCTCTCAAACCCTTTCAAATCAACACAACCCCCCCTCCCACATTTTCCCCCTTTTCTTCTCTGTAATCGAAAAACTAATAACGTAAAACACACAAAAAAGAGAGAAAAGAATAGAAAAGAAAAAATATTGTCCCCTTTCGCCTGTGAGAGTGACGAGAAACCGACCGCACAGATGGCGTTAGTGTTGCTTTCGAAAAAATAAGAAAGGATGATAAATGATGATGACGATAATGATGAAGAAGTAAAGGATTGTATGTGATAAAAAAGATAAAAGATGATGATAAAAGTATGAAATGGTGATAGAGTAATGATAGTGAGGGTGATAACGATGATAATGATGGTAATGGATGATGATGATAATAATAAATGTGATGGTGATGATGAGTAATAACGATGATATGATGTGTATTGTAAATAAAAATGATGATAATGAAAATGATACTGATTAATGACGAGATCACTAGATGAAATATACGATGTGATTATAAGAATGATGATGATGATATTACGATGATGAAAAAAAACGTAATTACGA